TTGAACCCCGCGAGTTAACCTACACGCAAGGGTGAAGCTGAAATAGCCTCTCAAGGCTATCAGCATAGGTAGGGTAAAAAAAAGATACAATGACCACCCACCATTAGGCGGGCAATAGTCAATATTGGGCAATAATAGTAACAACAGGAAACAATAAGATTAATTCGGTTCGGTATTTTAGTTACAGTTGACAAAAATATTCAATTGATTTTATACATATAACCATATTTTGTTTCTTTATTTATCATACTATATGTACCATATTTGTATACATTAGCGTACTCAATGCCTAAGGCATTCTCTACCAATTCAACCAAATGTAAGAATGAAGATATATTAGGAATAATTACTACGTAACTGCAAATTAATTTTGACAACACCAATAATATCGTACCATCGAACAGATGTATTGATAAATGTGGATAACGAATTTTTAATAGCTATTAATAAATTTATTGAATGCTCTTATTTTGTACAACCTATGTATGGTTAGTTTTACCAATGTTAAGCTAAGATATTAGTATCACGTAAACTAAATAATAAATTTTCTGTACCAAAAGTAACAAATTACTGTTGCGTTTTACCAGTAACTATATAGCACATTATTATAGCGATTTTCAAATTGAGCTCTGCAATTAAAATAATATTAATTAAACTATTATCAGCTATTAAAGAAACCACAACTTAGTTGCTAATGTTATTTCGAACGTACTATAAACAAACATTGTTATTAACCTCTGTAGTCGGATTGTTAACCCTCAGATAATACCGGACTCGTTTAGTGTTCAACACGGGTGACGTAAGCACATTTTTTTTTTCAAAATATTGGTTGACGAACTCACGCCCAATCATGTGGTAAATCATGTGGTATTAACGAACTAGCTGACCCGGTAGACTTTGTAGTGCCTCAATCGATAAATAAGAGACCTAAACTTTTGTATAAAATAAACTTAAAACAAACAAAAGGAATCCGTCCAACGGCGGACACATCTAATTCCGAGCCTTTTCATATTTATCTACCTTCTAAACTTTCTCTGGACTTCCACAAATAATTCAAGACCAAAATTAGCCAAATCGGTCCAGCCGTTCTCGAGTTTTAGCGAAACTAACGAACAGAAATTCATTTATATATATACATTAAATATAGATAGACATTAAAGCATTGTCACCCCACCCTTCTCAATATATAAAGTTGAAGTCTCAATTGTAGTTGGCTTAGCCTCCCCTTCAAACTAAAACCACGATTAAGATGCGCATAACCCGCGTATAAACCTATATCTATAGATTGATATAATACACTCAACAAATAACAAGTAATTATTTATGGTAATTTCCAAATTTATCGGGTTTGATTTTTATTAAAAAATGTTATTCCTACATCGTCAATCACGTCATGGTCAAACGAGAACACGTATTATGTACGTATACCTTTAACATTTACCTGCTTGTGGTATTTGAATCCCGGCATAGTCGAACCGTTCAAAACGAATAAACCTATTAAATTTTTAGACCACTTTAATAATAAGAAATTAACTCATTTCAAAATAAAAGTCAAACGATATTAAGACGAAACAATTCTCCCTTTCAGAAGAAAGCTATGAATAATTGTAGTAAATTAGAAAAGTTTTAAATAAGCAAAGAAAACAACCTCACAAGATCAAATCAAATTTGATCTCGGCAGTCCTCAGCTCCTTCAATCTCGTTTACAAGCAAGTTTCCAGCGGCTACGCGCCGCTATCGTTTTCATTAAGCCCTCGATGTTTTTCATCAAGGCTGTTCAAGAGGTTTCATTTTTTCTGAAAAATAAGTAACCGCGTCACGGGCCGTTGTCGTTAACACCCCGCTATTAGCGTCGTCAGTGAACGAGGGTAGATAATGGTTTCCCGCGAAAAAGCTGACTTTCCTGTCACATCGCTTCATTAGGGAATATCACACTGACCCCGACCTTACCGTTAGAAAAAATAATGCGGAACCGCTTGAACAAACTGGGTTCTTCATGTTTTTGAACGAATACATCAAATCTAGATTTTGTAAAAATAAATTTTAGTACGTTTATGCGCCGAACGTGGTTTAACACCTTTTATTTTTATTTCCTTTCCTGATCTATTAAAACGCACATTAGCCTTTGTATTTCTGTTCTATCTGTTCTATCTGTGTTCTATGTATTTCGGCGCTGAATATGCTGACGATAGCACTCTGAAGGCAGTTTCTGCGCGCTTCTTTTAACAAATAGCTGTATTTTATATACTTAGTCTTAATTATAGAGAAGCATCGTAAATATTCAATTAATTATATTATTTATTATTCAAAATAATCTGGCAGACCGATGACGTTTATTACTTGTATAGACTTTTTGGCATATTTAGGAAACTTCTGTACAACTTATCTTTATTCCTGACATCATAAATAGCATGGCTACTCAATAAAAAGGTAATATTCTATGTCGTTTAAAAACTCCGTTAATCACTTTAGTTGTTTTTTCTCGGAAACAATTATTCTTAGAACTAGCGTTTTCTCAGATTTTATTGTCACACACTTTGCAGGGAGGGAAGTCGATATATACCTACCTACGCCTCCTATTGTCTTCTGAATCAGTTCATCGCGGATTCTAAGACAAATGGGCTTTCCCTCGCGCTACGAAAGCCTCATCGTTCTGTCTTTCGGTACGATCACCACTGCGGATCCTGGCTTAATAAGAATTACAGCTTTGGAAGTGATTCATGGGTAGATAGACAATAGATTGATTTTTTACTGGTGGAAAGACCTCTTGTGAGTCCGCACTGGTAGATACCACCCTACCTATTTCTGAAGCAGTAATGCGTTTCGGTTTGAAGGGTGGGGCAGCCGTTGTAATTATACTTGAGACCGTAGAACTTATATCTCAAGGTGGGTGGCGCATTTACGTTGTAGATATCTATAGGCTCCAGTAACCACTTAACCCCAGGTGGGCTGTGAGCTCGTCCTCCCATCTAAGCAATAAAAAAATAGAAATAATTCAGAAAAACGGCTTTAAAACTTTGGGTTATTTTATGAAAGGATCCCCGAAAAATCGCTTAGCTAGCTTCATCCGCTCCGAGAATGCCTACATTTTTTCATTAATTTTGGGACATCGTCCCCAAAAATTTTTTTCAACGGAAACTTAAGTTAAGTAACGTCCAAAATTTGTTATAGACTGACAATAAAATTGCGATTGTCAATTATTTTTTCATTACATCGTAGAATCCAGGTAAACGCGAGAATCGAAACTCTTGTTTCGGTGAAATAATTCAGGGACCGGTATTTCAGTATATCAGATATAATACGTTGTTTTCAATTATCTTTTCAACTTTGGATAAGCAAACAGACTTACGGCCCTACTGATATTAAACGTAATCTGAGCCCATTAATAGATTTACCAGCGGTAGGGCGTAACATGAGTCCACGGTATGTCTAACCGCCTATATTTTCAAATACATAAAATTAATAATGAATTATAATTAATTAATAATAATATGATCTAGGGCGATAGATACCCAAAAGTCCATCAGACTCCTAATTCAAAGAACCTGTGGAATACGAATCCAGCTAACATGAAGTCAACCATCTCCTTGACTTATGATCCCTGATGTAATTGCAAAATAGATATAATTTTGCTCTACCACGATACTATAATATGCGAATAAAAGCGGTTTGAAAGAAGATTTATGTAATCGATTCCTTTTTTAAATGTTTTTAATTTTTTTTTCTATTTACCGAGTACGTCAAATTTCTGCAATTCTCAAAAAAACAAAATATTTGGTAGCTATAAAAGTCTTTGGTATTGAAATGCTATTTTTTATACCATCTGGTTAGACAGCGTCTCATGATCCATCCGTTGTTTAATGGTCACCAAAGCTCACAGACAACACGAATGTTAATACCGCTACCTTCATTCCATTTCGAACATCAGTATGGTCTCCTAAGTCACGGCCAAATCACCTCGTGTCCTTAACATTATGCTCCATAATTTCTCGCCGATAGCAACCAAACACAATCATGTCACGTTCCCTTTATCAACTTTGTAATAACCAAAGAGTACCACGTAGCGATCGTTTGTTATTTTTTTCCACATTTATGATATCGTTGTGCAAATTCCAGATGTAGGTCACGAACACGAGCCCTTAATAGAGGTTCAGTATTTCACTCTGTTACAGCAAATATTGAGGCTTTAAGTAAATATCGTATTCCATCACTTAAGCACAAACGGTTTGCGTGGCACCCTTCCGAAAATCTTCCACTTCAGTCTGAGTAAATACTATCCAATTTAATTCGTGCATGTCTTCCAGATTTTTCTTTAAATACTTATTTCTACTGTTGTAATTACTCAACCTAAGTAATTTTTGAATTGAAAGGGAAATTTTACGCCTCAAATCACATTTGGTGCCAGTCACCTCACCCAGTCAGCTAACTGAAAAGTAAATAAAACATTTCAAAAGATTTTGTATTTTCTCTTCGTATATTACCTTGTTTTTTTTGCCCAATTTAATTACATAACCATGTCCAAAATAGTATGTAATTCGTGAACTGAATAATATAATTAATCAAACGTAATTTGTAAAAGTGTTTTGTTTTTCTTTAAAATCCTTAGTTGCACATTGCAAACATTTAGTTGTCAAAGTACACCAAATTTTTTTTTTTCAGGCCCTTATTAAGTAACATATATTTTATAACGTTATAATAACATTATTTTCAACTGTGTTCATTATGAAACAAACATACATGTTTATTTGGACTGTGTTGTCCTAATGATCTAAACCAGACCATGGTCACCAGCAAATCAGGATTTGGATGTTTTATATTTTGTTGTGTAATGTTTAAAAAAAAACTTTATCCAAATTACAAAGCTATGTCCAAGAAAAATTACACTCAAGCTGGTAAATACAAAACCAAAAAAAAGCAATGTATATTCTTCTATCGCTCTATCCGTGATGCTAAAATTGTTTTCAACCATAGAAACTAATATCAATTTTCGTCAATTCCAGCTACACTTATCACGGCAGCGGCCGGCACCACAGTAGGATGGACATCACCGACTCTACCCATGTTGCTGTCTCAGGAGTCCCCTATACAGACATCCGAAGATCAGAGCTCATGGATCGCGTCAATCATGATACTTTGTTCAGGTATGATAAATAAAAGTTCACAAAATGTTACAACAATAGGTAAAAGGATATGATTTTCACTAAAATTTACTAATTCACTATTGAGGATGTATTTACATGTAGTTACATTACATACACACATGTTTTTTTTGTTGTTGCTTAGACGGGTGGACGAGCTCACAGCCCAGCTGGTGTTAAGTGGTTACTGGAGCCCGTATGCATCTACAACGTAAATGCGCCACCCATCTTGAGATATAAGTTCTAAGGTCTCAAGTATAGTTACAGGGCTGCCCCACCCTTCAAACCGAAACGCATTACTGCTTCACGGAAGAAATAGGCAGGGTGGTGGTACCTACCCGCTCGGACTCACAAGAGGTCCTACCACCAGTAATTACGCAAATTATAATTTTGCGGGTTTGATTTTTATTACACGATGTTATTCCTTCACCGTGGAAGTCAATCGTGAACATTTGTTGAGTACGTATTTCATTAGAAAAATTGGTACCCGCCTGGGATTCGAACACCGGTGCATCGCTAGATACGAATGCACCGGACATCTTATCCTTTAGGCCACGACGATGTATTTATTTGGTATAATAAACAAAACATACGAATGATATAGCAGTTCTCCACTCAAGCTCATTCATCCATTCAGGCCTATCACACGTCATATCATTACACTCGCACACACACACAGTATCTAATCTTTTTAGGACTCCCCCTCCTCACATTACTGTCTGCTTTTATACCCAAAATTCTTTTTGACCACATGATAATATTCTCTACGCATATCATGCCCATTGGAAAGGTAGAAAATCCAGAGTGCAGGTACGAAATTCTCTCTAGGGACCCAGGCTGTACACTTTTAGGTAAAAAGGATAAGCAGACTCATCTCAGAATTTATGGTTTAATTGTTACAAATTTTCACGATTGAATTACAAACAGTTTAAATAACGTAATAAAAACCAATTACATTTATAGTCACAAACTAGATGACCACCACATATTCTATGTGTGGAGCACGTGATGCAGTCTCGATTCAGAGAATTCTAGGTCATGTGTGGATCGTAAATCGAAACTCCGCCTTTAGTTTTTGTTATAGACATTTAAGTGTTTACAAAAATTTTCAATACAGTATGTATGGCTATGTTGACCGTGTAAGTAATGTTTCTTACAGAGAACCGAAAAAAATGAATTTTAATTTTGATCTAAATGGAACTAATTATGCTAAGTAGGGCTATTGCTAAAATTGATTGTAAGCTACGTGTCACAGATCATTAAGACGTCAAGACTGGCTGGCTCCGCACAAAGCTAACTTATTCGGCATGATACATTACCAGTGACATGCTCTATGTAGCATAAAACTGCGCACAACAAACCCAACAGTCGTTAACATGATTAAATAGGAAGTCAACTCATCAATTCACTTTTTCTAAATACTGTCATTAAAATCGTCGACTGTAATTTGTCTGCATTGAGCAAAAAGAAGTTTTTTTTTTGTTCTGTGTTAATATTTCTCCATTCGTATTTTTTTATCTATTACTCAGGGTAACAAGTACTAAAATCGGCAATCCATAATTAGAAACAGTGCATATAAGCACAACGTGTATACTATGCAGCTTAAAGTAAATAGAACTAACATTTCAATTTAAAGGTAAAACACAAAGCTTTATTTATCTTATTTCAGCTGCGAGTCCAATTCCTGCATCTTACCTTGCCGATAGGATCGGAAGGAAGAAGACTCTTCTCCTGGCAGCAGTACCATACATCATCGGATGGATTCTAGTGATGCTTGCTGCAAACGTTCCTACAATTTACGCCTCTCGTCTCATCTCAGGGCTGGGTTACGGGATCGCCTACACTACAGCACCCATGTATCTCGGAGAGATAGCTTCAGATGAAGTTCGCGGGGCGATGGCAACCCTAATTACAGTAATGTCAAAGGTAAGCCCATGCTTTAATTAATGATAATTTAGGGATGTCAACAATATTAGGAGAAGAGTTCATAATTGAACTCTTACTTGCGTTGTCAACATGTTTTATATTTATCAACATGTTTGAAAATTGCAAATGTACTGGTTTCATATAATTCCTATTATTTGGTACCATTAGTACGTATATATGTACGTACTTTATATGTTTAATCTAACGGTAGATAGGAAAGGTGAAAAAAATTACTAGAAGTTATTAAAAATTGATTAATAAAAAATAAAGGTTTAAATTTAAAATAAAATACATATTAATAAATTCGCAATATATTTAATTCTCAAATAGGTACTTATAAACGATGTCAACTTTACGCTTTTCGTCAGCAACAATAATCTGTGAAACTTGTTCTTGTTTCGGCACATTAGCATATTCTTGATCAGAACAATTTATTAATAGTGACCTCTGCTTGGGTCGTTAAATGGCACCTGTTATTTTTAGTTCATAAAATGAATTATTATTAATTTGAATATCATTATTTTTCAGTTCGGCATCCTGTCGCAATATTGCATTGGGCCATACGTCTCAATGCTAGGTTTGGCAAGTTTTAACATAGCACTACCGATACTATTCGTTGTAACGTTCAGTGCAATGCCTGAGTCGCCATATTACTACATCAAAGCAGGACTGAAAGACGAAGCAGAATTGTCGTTAAAGAAACTAAGAGGCAAACATTTTGTAAGAGACGAGCTAGAGAGTATGAACAGCTTAGTCACAGAAAACATGAAAAATAAAAGTCGGTGGAAAGATCTCATAACCGTTAGAGGAAACAAAAAAGGACTCATCATTCTTCTGGGAATTTATTTCACTCAACAGTTTTGCGGCAGTACTGCGATCATTAGCTATACACAGCAAATATTCGACGCCGCAGAAGGAGGATTAGGACCGGCTGAGTCTAGCATATTATTTGGTTCTGTGCAATTATTAACTTCAGCAATCTCTTCACAATTAGTCGACAGATTAGGAAGGAAACCTCTACTATTAATATCTTCTTGTGGAGTGGCAGTGACCAACATCATAATCGGCGCTTACTTCTTCATAAAAGACTTGAACAGTGATTACGTCGTGAGCGTGAAATTCATTCCTTTAGTTGTAATACTAATATTTATATTTTCTTACACAATAGGCTTAGCCACTGTGCCTTTTGCTATTACTTCAGAGATGTTCCCCACTAATATTAAGTCGAAAGCGACATGTGTCATACAAATATTCGTGGCTTTGATAACATTTGCCGTCACGAAACTGTATCAAGTTGTGGATTCTAATTTAGGGACTTATGTGGTGTTCTGGGGTTTCGCGGTAATGTCAGTGGCCGGTGTGATATTTATTTTAATATTATTGCCAGAAACGAAAGGTCAATCGTTTGCGGCTATACAAGAGAAATTATATTCTAGTGAAAAAGTTGTTTACGAGAAAGACGAGGATCAGATGGCCAGTGTTAAAATAACATTGTGACAACTTGAGAGTGCCTTAGATCAATTAAATTAATTATATTTAAAAATAAATTCCTATTTACGTGAAGCAAATAAAATTAGTATTTTATACGCTTCTGTTCGGAATAAACAAGATTCCAAGTAAAATAAATGTACATATATCAATAAGAAACTTACATATTCTGTGATCTTGGATACGAAATTACGCCTTAATTGTTGTATTCGCTATTGTACTTTTTTTTGGGAAAAACTATCAAAGATTCAATTTTTACTAAATAAAACATAGATGGAATCTGGGGCAGACATCTTGAGTAGACAATGCATGGTCCTATTGGTATCATGTGACTACCCGAACTCATAGATATCACAATGTGAGTGCTCTCCCCCACTTTTATTTGCTTTTTTGTTTTTGTTTGTTTTTTTTTTCTTAGATGTGTGAACGAGCTCATAGCCCGTATGGTATTAAGTGGTTCAGGTATGATAAATAAAAGTTCACAAACCGTTACAACAATAGATAAAAATATATGATTTTTCACTAAAATTTACTAATTCACTATTAAGAATGTATTTACATGCGCTTACTTTACATATTTACATGTTTTTTTTTGTTGCTTAGTTGGGTGGACGAGCTCACAGCACACCTGGTGTTAAGTGGTTACTGGAGCCAGTAGACATCTACAACGTAAATTCCGCCACTCATCTTGAGATATAAGTTCTAAGGTCTCAGTATAGTTACAAGGGCTGCTCTACCCTTCAAACCGATACGCATTACTGCTTCACGGCAGAAATAGGCAGGAAGGTGGTACCTACCCGTGCGGACTCACAAGAGGTCCTACCACCAGTAATTACGCAAATTATAATTTTGCGGGTTTGATTTTTATTACACGATGTTATTCCTTCACCGTGGAAGTCAATCGTCAAGATATCATAAGTACGTATTTTTAAATTTATTAGAAAAATTGGTACCCGCCTGCAGGATTCGATCACCTTTGCATCGCTACATACCAATGCACTGGACATCTGATCCTTTAGACCACGACGACTTCAAAAATATGTTGAAAAATATGAGGTCCGAGTCTTAATTGCATTAAATAATAGTCGTCCCATTGCTTTGGAACATAAATAGGCAAAATACCGTATACCAATCCGTGCTCACTCTGTTCTAGAATAGAACCAACATTGATATATGCTTACAAAATTTTTATCACACATAACTTAGGTAGTAGTACTTTTTACGCTTCCGTAGTCATAAATGAAAATGTGTTATTATTACGTAGTTGTTAAAAAAATACCTATATTGATAAGTAAAATTCTAAATCTTTTAAAGTTGGTATTTCCCGGTTTAATTTTTACAGCAAACCCAGTCAGACTACAAAACCCTAGTAATCACATAGTGGGCTAAATGACAACGTGCACGATATTATTATTTAATGGACAACATTCATAAGCACACATTATAAGCGAGGAATAGGCGTGTCAAATGACTGTTTAATAAACAATTTTTATTGATGTGATAACGCGGGCTTAGTCGGGTTTTTCAATACATTTATCACGTGATTTTCACATGACTGTCACTTTACTATTTCGTTTATACTTTCATCATTCCACGTCATAATCTATAAATAACTAGCTGGCCCGGCATAAGTTGTTTTATCATATAAATTATTTCTAGGAAAGATAAATAACATAGATACCGAATGCAGCGCCATCTGCCGGGTTGATTTGTAAATCCAAACCATTCTCGAATCCAACTGAAGGAACGCATGACGTCATGTGTAGGTATTCGTCATGTTTGTTCTATGGTAGCTCGTCGCTAATATTGGCCCCAACGCTACACGTAATAAAACTACGTTCACATTTTGCAAAGTTTACGAGACAATTTTTAAAACCGTCTTTCTGCTATTTATGGCATTTCAGCAGCCCGATTCATCGTACCCATTAACTTAGACGCGTGCTAGTTTAATTCATATAGTCCATATATTCAGTGATAGCCACAACGAATACGCTAATAACAAATAAAAATAACCTTACGTGATGATGTTTTTCTGTCACGATTTATCGTCCTATAATTTCAAGCAAAAATCAACTATAAATCCATTTGAAATTATGGAATAAGGAAGACAGGGTTCATATGGTTGTTCAACTTATTCACAACAGCTATATACCTACCGGGTACAGCCAATCAAACCTACTGCCTTAAAGATGCCTTCTCTATAATGTAGATTTTAAGACTCATGTTAAAAAATGTACCTCGTGTTGAATGGTGTATTTATTATAATTTAGTCATAAGTTTAATCGACTCTAGATCGAAATCAATAATTTGTCTGTAAATCGACATACATATGTATCTACAACAGCTTATTAAAAATCATAATCAAATGTATTCAGACGGCTGATCATTTTCATATGCAACCGAAGACGCAGTTCTTCACAGTTGCTGACCTAATTTAAATTAATTCTATGTCTCGTCTAACAATAAACATTTAAAAAACACAAAAAAATCCGTCTCGAATTGAGAATTGCTTTTATAATGTTAAAAAATATATATTTACAAATTCGCGCGTATAAATTCCCAAACACGCGCTTGTACATATTATTATAATAGCATTTTTACAGTCATGATTCAAAGGTAGAGTATGGTTCAATCTCGTGTTTATGTTATTAATATCTGATTCCGTCACTTACAACACTTTACAGTCTTCTTACTCACGGAACACTGACAAGGTACACCGCCTTTTATTCAGCTAATGGAAAGCATAATAAGCCTGTTATAGTCAAACAACATCATTTTGGAATACTTACACGATTCAAAAGTTAATAGTTAAAACTATTTGGAGTTGAAATTATATTTTTTTCTTTTATTTTTGTTACGATCTTATGTTAAGAGAATATCTGAGCTTATGCCTACTAAAAAGTGAGTACTGGCACCCACCATAGAAGATTCAGCTCCCAATTGTATTAATCCTCAAAACAGTATGTTGTTTTTTTCATTTCGAAATACAAACGCGGTAGCTATACTAAACGACAACAAGCACTAAAGACCTAACTTTTTTTTTAATGTCCTTGTAGGCAGACGAGCATACGGCGAGTGGTTACCGTCGGCCATGGACTTTAGCAATGCCAGGCGCAGACACAAACCGCTGCCTACCATTAAGTATTTTTTGCGAATATTTTCCTATTTTCGTGGTGACAGCTATGAGCTTATTGTGTGTTGTGTTCTTGCTCCTGAAAGAAGGTATATTAAAACTCTTCCCAAAGCCAAAAAACAAGAATGTCTATTTTAAATCAAGGTGATAACAATATTTATTTTCATTCAACTAACTTTCCTATTTTAAAAGTTCCAAATTTTACTGGACCACAAACTAATGGCAAATCATCAACTTTACATCAGAATAATATAATTGCAGTGTGTTGTGTTTAGTTTTATTTCCATCTTATTGATAAGTATTTGAATACTAAAAAATACCTAAACAACTTACATTGTTAGTACTTTTAGTTAAAAATGTCATCAATCTTAGCTATTTACAAGTAGGCTAATAGTTTAATTCGCGAGCTTTGTAGAACTAAAGAAACTGTCACAAATAAATACACAATAACGAATCTCTAACGTTTGAATTACAGGAATCATATCGAATTTATTTAAGTGAACAAATGTTTAAGTCTTTACAATTTTGCCATAACTATTGTTTGTTTATTTGTGTATGTGTGTTCTATGCGCGTTGTTGCTACCGTCTATCTATAGTCGTTTTTGGCGCTTCATTGCACGCGAGTCACATTGAACAAATGTATATATTCTAATTCATAAATGGTAAATGAATTTCACAAACGAGTATGGGTATGTCATAAACATTGCAGAAGTCACCGCGCGGCGTAGTTAGTCTAGTACTTAACAATATTATCACTTATTAGTTAAGTACTTACAATTTTATCAAAACAACGGCCCGGACTAAGGGTCGATACGTTATTCTTGTAACTGTAAATATAATTATTTTTTATAAAATAATAATAATAACTCTTTATTTAACACCACATCTACAGAGTAAGCTTAAAAAACAAATAATAGACGATGACATAAATTGGCGGCCTTATTGCTGAAAGCGATCTCTTCCAGGCAACCTTGCAGGGAGAGGAATAAACAAACTAGCATGGACGGTGCTATATCTTAATAAACTTACATAAAAATATATACTTATATACACATGTGAAAAATAAATACAATATAAGATAGACTTACATACGATTAAATACAAATAAATACTAAAAATATTTGGTAGTAAATATGTACAAGTAATAGATGTGAAATATCTGACAATAACATTATTGTAATTTAAGTGTAGATTCGTTCAGATTAAAATACTAAACGAACAATTCAAATTATCTGGATACGTTCCTACAAAAACCTAAGTATCCCAAAATAAATAAATAAATAAATGTATACCAGCCATTCTAGAACGATCCAAATGCACGCCCGAGCGAAGACTCTTTTTACACTTTACGTACAAATATCAGCCAAAAACTAGATTGAATTTAGCCAAATTTTTGATCTTATACCTAACACACTATCATTTGATGTGTCACTAATTCAATAAATAACTCCATAAGCTGAAGGTTAACAGCAAATACGGAGAAAATTATTTATAAATTGAATTTTTAAATCGAATGTTTGTGCCTAAGTAAGCCAAAATATATGTATTTACAAATGGATGTTAATATTATATGTAAATAAAGGGTTTTTCATTAAGAGCGCTCGAACTTAAAAAAGAAATAAAAAAATCAAAATTAAAAAACTGTCGTGATATTGCCACATTTTTTTAAAGGGTTAATTATTTTAAAGGGTGTTGGATGACATTATGTATGGTGTACAAATTTAACCAAATGGCCGCCGCGACTCTGCTGTAGGTGGTGTATTCTGGTGGACCAATTCTGTATGACATCTTCACATAAATGAGGCTCAATACCACAAAGAGCGCGAGTTATGTTATCCTTCAGGGCGGCACGGTCTGTGGTTTGTCTACAAGGACCAAAGATTTCACATGGCCCCACAGAAAATAGTCAAGCGGTCTTAAGTCACACGATCTCGGTGGTCAGTGTCAGTACGCGAGATGACGAAGCCTTCGACTTTCTCATCCAATAAATTTAATGTTTCCCATGCTGTATGACAAGTTGCGCTGTAGGCCACAAAAAGTTTGTTATCGTCGTCCGACATCGGTCGCCATTGACAATGAGAGCGACTTCCTGCGCATATTCCAAGAAATAAGGCCCGATTATGTTGCCGTACAAGAGTGTAGCGTTTCATGTTGGAATATCACGACTAAATAATATGTCTTCATGCCAAATTTAACAGCTATCGCTTTACCAAGATGGCCGCTATGAGCTGTCAAAGTTCGCACGTCCGTATTGAATAACCCTATATTAATGTAGTTTATCAAATATAGTTCGTTGCTTCGTTTTATTAATATTAGAAAATGTTTATTATAGTGCAACATTGATAAATCTATGGATTAAGGATATTCTACTTTTTTAAGTAATGAACAAACCTCGAAAGAAAATTTCCAAGTTCATTTAAATATTATACACACTGTTATTTAACGGTTTTTACCACGATTTTCAGAAATCATAAGTTCCCAATATTTCGTTGCTGTTACAAGCGCTATGATCA